TTGATAAAGGAGTTAATTTCCCAAGAATACTTAAATATTTTTGATATGCATGTGTCTAACAACATAACATCAAAAAATATGAGGCAAAAAAATGATAGAACTGCAGAAAGGAGAAATGGATGAAACTACGACTACTGGAAATTTTTAAAATCCTTTATCAAAAATAGACCCAACAAGGAGAAGAACGGTAAAGACATAGTTGAAACTGAACACCATCATCAATACACTAGATCTAACTGACATCTGTAGAATACTTCACCCACCAACAGCAGACTACACATTCTTCTCAATCTGCCATGAAACATTCACCGAGACAGAATACATTCTAGTAATTAAACCACACCTGAGCAAATTCAAAAGACTAGAAATAACACAAAGTATGCTGCCAGACCACAAGGGAACTAGACTAGAAATCAATAACAGAAAGAGCTGGAAGCACCCTGTGATGGACTGAATGTTCATATCCCCCCCAAATGCATATGTCGAAATCCTAACCCCCAATGCAATGGTATTAGGAGGTGTTGCCTTTGGGAAATGATTAGATCATGAGGGTGGACTCTTCCTGATTGGAATTAGTGCTCTTATAAAAGACACCACAGCGATCTTCCTTGGATCATCTGCTATGTGAGGACTTACTGAGAACATAAACATCTATCAATGAATGAGGTAGCTGGCCCTTAGCAGACAAAGGATCTGTCAGCAACTTGATCTTGGACTTCCCAGCCCCCAGAACTGTAAGAAATAAATTTCTGTTGTTCATAAGCCAACCAGTCCATGGTATTCTGTTATAGCAGTCTGAATGGACTAAGACACACCCAAAATACTTGGAGAGATTAAACAGTACACTTCTAAATTATATACAGGTCAAAGGAAAAGTTCCAGGAGAAATGAAAACATATTTCAACTAAAGAAAATGAAAATACAATTTATCAAAATTTGTGGTATACAGCAATAGCAGTGCTTAGAGGGAAATTTATAGTATTGAGTGCATATACGTAAAAGGAGAAATATATAAAATTAATAATGTAAGCTTCCATCTTAGTAAACTATAAAATAAAGAACAAATGAAATCCAAAGTAAGCAGAAAAAATAAATAATAAAATTAGGGCTGACATCAATGAAAATTAAAATAGTAAATCACTAGAGAAAATCAACTGAACAAAAACCTAGTTCTTGGAAAAGGTCAATGAAATTAATAAACTTCTAGTCAGATTGACAAAAACAAAAAGATAAAACAAGAATTCCTGGGGCGCCTGGGTAGCTCAGTCGATAGGCATCTGCCTTTGGCTCAAGTCATGATCCCAAGGTCCTGGGATGGAGCCCTGCATCAGGCTCCCTGCTCCGCAGGAAGCCTGCTTCTCCCTCTCCCACTCCCCCTGTTTGTGTTCCCTCTCACTGTGTCTCTCTCTGTCAGATAAATAAATAAAATCTGTGAAAAAAACCCCACAAATTCCTAATATGAGAAATGGAAGAGTGAATATCCTTACTGATCCCATGGATATTAAAAGAATAATTAAGAATATTATGAACAACTCTATGCCCACAGATTTGATATCCAAGAGATATACAAAGTGCTTGAAAGACAAAATCCACCAAAACTCACACAAAGAGAAACATATATTCTGAATAGTCCTATGTATGTTAAAGAAATTAAATCAATAATTAGTAACTTTCCCAATGTGAAAGCACCAGGCCCACATGATTTCATTGATGAATTCTAACAAACATTTAATGAAGAAATTATATCGATTCTTTAATATGTCTCTAGAAAATAAAAACAGAGGAAATGCTTACTAACTCGTCCTAAGGCCAGAATTACCCTAAAACCAAAAGCAGCAAAAATATTATAAGAAAAGTAAAACTACAAACCAATATCTTCCATGAACATAGATGTAAAATTCCTCAACAAGATATTAGCAAAACAAATCCAACAATGTATAAGAAAAGTTATACATCATGACCAAGTGGGACTTATTCCTGGTATACAAGGCTGGTTCAATATTGGAAAATCAATTAATATAAACAATCACATCAACAGGCTAAATGAGAAAAATCATATGATCATATCAATAAATGCAGAAAAAGCTTTGACAAAATCCATCACCCACTGATGATAAGAACTCTCAGAAAACTAACAGAAGGGAACTGCCTCAACTTTAAACATATCATCTACAACTAATATTATACTTAATGTTGAGAAACTAGATGCTTTCCCACTAAAATCAAGAGTAAGGCAAGGATGTCTACTTTTTACACTTCTATTCATCACTGTACTGGAAGACATAGCTAATTCTACAATAAAACATGAAAAGGTATTCTTAATGCTAAAATACAATATAATAAAAATATATAGATTTAGAAGGAAGAAATAAATCTGTCTTTATTTGCAGACGACATGAATTTCTATGTAGAAAATCCAACAGAATCAACAATAACAACAACAACAACTACTCCTGGAACTATTAAATGATCATAGTAAGGTTTCAGGATACAAGGTTAATCTATACAAGCCGTAAATACTAACAATGAACAACTGTAATTTGAAATTAAAAACACAATGCCATTTATATCAGCACCAAATAAAGATAAATGTTTAGGTATACATTTAACAAAATGTGTATAAGATCTATATGAGGAAAAATACAAATCTCTGCTGAAAGAAATCAAAGATCTAAGCAAATGGAAAGACGGTCTGAGCACATGAATAGGAACATTAACTACTGTCAAGATATCAGGTCTTCCCAATTTGATCTCTAAATTCAATGCAATCCCAGCAAGTTTATTTTAATTGGGGTAAAAAATTATCATAAGATATACAATCTTAATCTTTTTTAAGTGTACAATTCAGTACTGTTAAGTATATTTACATTGCTGTGAATGGATCTCCAAAACCTATTCAGCTTGCAGAATTGAAACTCTGTACCCATTAAATAACAATTCCCCTTTGCCCTTTCCCATAGTGTCCAGTATCAACCATATATCTAAAGTAGTCAAATTCATATATACTCACATTAGATATTTCACATAAATGTAATGATACAGTATTTGTTCTTTTTTGACTGCCTAATTTCACTTAGCATAATGTCTTAAATGTTCATCCTTGTGGTAGCATATGACAGTATTTCCTTCCTTTTTAAGAGGACATAGTATTCTACTGTATGTATATACCACATCTTTTTTAACCACTTATCCAGTGATAGAAAATTTGGTTTGCTTCCATCTCTTTGCTATTTCAGAAATGTATTTTGTGAATATGAAGAACCCAATTCTAAGGTTTATATAGAAAAGCAAAAGACCCAGAATAGTCAACACAATAATAAAGAAGAACAAGGTCAGAGGAGTGATGTTACCAACCTCAATACTTACTGTAAAGCCACAGTAATCAAGACAGTGTGGTATTGGCAAAAGAACAGACAGATCAATGCAACATAAAAGAGAACTCAGAAATAGGCCCACACAACTATAGTCAACTGACCTTTGACAAAGGTACAAAAGCAATCGAATAGAGAAAGCACAGTCTTTTCAACAAATGGTGCTGGAAAAACTGGACATCATTCACATGCAAAAACATGAATCCAGACACAGACCTTACACCTCCACAAAAATTAACTCAAAATGGATCATAGGAGTAAATGTAAAATGCGAAGCTATAAAACTCCTAGAAGACAACATGGGAGAAAATCTAGGTGACTTGGGGTTTGGTGATGACTTTTTAGATACAACACCAAAAACACAATCTGTGAAAGAAAAATTTGATAAGGTGAACTTCTTTAAAATTAAAATCTTCTATGGTAGCACAATATAAACACACTTAATGCCACTGAAATGTACCCTTAAAACAGTCAAAATGGTAATAAATCTTATGTTATACATATTTTACCACAAAGAAAAAAATCTTCTTTTATACATCTTGGAAAATGCCCTGTTACTTTTGATGCATCATTCTGACAATCTTCAAAGAAAGATAAAAGCAAAGTCAGAAAGCGTGAGATACTAAAATGTAATCTGGAATCGAAGTATTTTCTCTTAATTTTCTAGTTCCTACACATTTCTCCTACTGTTAAAATTTTAGTTATGCCTTATTTCCTATTATAGTTTGAAAGTAATGAATGTAAGACCAAAAAAATTTTTTTAATTTCTGCTCTCCAAAAGACACTGTTAAGACATACAGACAATCTCCAGAACTTTTTCATCTAGCATTATCTAGAACACAGTGCCTAGAGTCAATACATTATTGTGTACTTCAAATTTTGTTAATAGGGTAGATCTCATGTTAAGTGTTTATAACACCATAAACAAACAAACAACAACAACAAAATGTGACACGAGGTAACTCCTGTAGGTGTTGGATATGGCTATTACCTTGATTATTCTGATAGTATTAGGGGTACTTGCATATAACGAAACTCATCATACACATTATATACGTGCAGTTCTTTGTATATCAGTGATAACTCAATAAAGTTGTTTTTAAAAAGCCAGAGGCACAAACTTCCATTTATAAAATAAATACATCACAGAGATAAAAAGTAAAGCATAGGAAATACAGGAAATAATAATGTACTAACATTATATGGGGACAGACGGTAACTGCACCTTATCATGATGAACAATGCATAATGTATAGAACTGTCAAATCACAATGTTGTACACCTGAAACTAATATAACATTGTATGTCAACTATACTTCATAATAAAATGTTTTAAATAAATTTTTAAAAAGCCACTGCTAAGAGAATGGAAAGGCAAGCCACATACTGGGAAAAAATATTTGCACAACACATACCTGATAAAGAACTTGTACCCAAAATTTACGAAGAATCCTTAAAACTCAACAATAAGAAAACAAACAAATAAAAATTTTAAATGGGCAAAAGATAAGAACAGACATTTCACCACAGAGGTTGCACAGATGGCAAAAAAGCACATGACATGATGTTCAACATCACTAGCCTTTAAGAGAATGCTAACTAAAATCATAATGAAATATCACTGCATACCCATCAAAATGGCTAAAATTCAAAACCTGACAACACCAAATCCTGGTGATGATGTGGAGCAACAGAAACTTTCAATTAGCAATAATCACGCCTCGGATAAACCTCATTGGCTACGATACTGCCACTGCGCAAAGCTAGCAACAGAAACTTTCATTCACTGCTTTGGCAATACAAAATAGTGTAACTACCATTAGTCACCATACAACACTATTACAATACCATTGACTGTATTCCATTCCCTATATTGTACCTTTCAACTCTGTGAACCACAGCATATAGAGTTGTGGAACCCCTCTGTTGTACACCTGAAACCAATGTAACACTGTGTGTCAACTATACTTCAATTAAAAAAGAGGATTATAAAAAAAAATAGTGTAACTACTCTGGAAGACAGTATGGTGGTTTTGTACAAAAATAAACATACTCTTAGCACTAGGTGTTATACACAACTGATGGATTCCTGCACACTACATCTGAAACTAATGATGTACTATATGTTGGCTAACTGAATTTAAATAAAATAAAAATAAACATACTCTTACTATATGATTCAGTTATACTGCTCTGTATTTATTCAAAGGATTTGAAAATGTATATCTACACAAAAACATGCACATGAATATTCAGAAACTCTATTCCTAATTGCCAAGTCTTGGAAGTAATCAAGATGTCCTTCAATATATGAATGTATAAACTGTGGTCAAAATCCACAGAATTTACAACACAAAGAGTGAACCTTAATGTAAATTATGGATTTAGCTAATAATAACATATCAGTATTGGCTCATCAGTTTTAACAAGTGTACCACACTAATGCCTGATATAAATAATAAGGGAAACTGGGGAATGTGTGAGGGAGGTATATGGGAACTCTACTTTCTGTTCAATTTATCTGTAAACTTCAAACGGTTCAAAAGAATAAAATCTATTAATTTTTTTAAAGATGGCTGAAAAGCCTTAGATGAGGTAGGCATACTGCTGCTGTGTCCCCGTGGCAGGCAGATGGCCCATGGGTTCTGGCACCACGGCCAGACCTGGATGCTCCGAAAGCCTGAAACCTGACAAGACCCACACGACTACCATGCTCAAGAGCGCACCTCAACAGTACAAGTGATGCAATTTTTGGCCCAGGTAGTCATGGCTTCAACAGGGCCTTTTTTGTGTGTGCTGCCTGTGACAGCCACTGCTCATCTCCCTGGGCAGGGTCAAGGTAGCAGAATGAGGGGCAGGGAGTGCTGGCTGGAAGTACAGAACCGTAGGAACTTGACAACAAGAAATCCGCTTCGGGTGAAGGTCACTTTGCAACCTCCTGCCATGAAAAGCCCAGACAGGTTAACTTCCCCAGGGACATACAGCCAATAAATTATTCAGTGGGGATGAGACCCAGGTGGTTTGGCCCTCACCATGCAGGCCACAACCATGATTGCTGGAAGGCACTGTTGATTTCCTTGGCTTCACAGTCATCAGGGGCTCCCCCATGAAGTTTGCCATCGGAGCAGGGTGGGAAAGTGGGGAAGCCAGTTCTGGGGATGCAGAGTGCTGACCAGGCATCAGGCTCTGTTGTAGGCATTTTACTTGTATTAACTCATTTAATCCCCCCAGCAGTTTTAATGAATGGTCATTGCCATCAGAGGCAACTTACAATTTTATATCAAAAGAAGTTTGGTTGGCACACCGCAGTTCTGTGACATAAGAAGGTTGGAAAACTTGCCTGCTTTTTGGACATGGACAAATTTTGCTGGGATAGTGCATTAAGAGGGAAAGATTACATTAACCATGCTGGCACGCCAGCATTTACCAGGACATAAACTGTACTTGGAAAAGTCATAGGTTAGAGAAAATCATTTATTCACTGAAGATAAAACCAAAGGAGTCATGAAGGAAGGTAAGAAATTTCACTTAGTGATGTACCATGTCCATCTTTATAGTATGCATGTGACTTTTGGGGGAACCCGGCTAGTTCAATTGGTAGAGCATGCGACTCTTGATCTCGGTTGGGGTTGTGAGTTTGAGCCCCATGTTGGGTGTAGAGACTACTTAAAAATAAAATCTTAAAAAATATATATAAACACTTTTACCCAACAAGATACACAGTAGCAGCCTAAGAAAAACAGATATTAAAGACGGAGAATGCAGACTCAGTATGCAGATCATTGGCATTTTTGGAAGAAAATTCCTGAACAAATGGAAGAGAAGCAATATTTAGATAAAATAAAGTTTTCTTGAGATGAAGAAAAACGTTAATCCTCATATGAAAATGTCTTGTCATGTTCAAACAAAATTAACAAAAACTGTCCAATATTTGAATGTGAATGGCTGACATTCTGAACTTCAAAGAAAAAGAATGCAGCAGGTTTTCAGGAAAAAAAATAATTTTCCACAAGAGTACAAAATCAGGCTTCTCCTGAGTGTCATACAGCAACAGGATACAAAAGGAACAGCATATAATATATTAAGGGGACAAGGTTGTGTCTGACTTAACAATTCTATATCAAGTCATATCTGAAAGCCACAGAAATAATTCCAATTATATATGGACTCTGAAGATTCCACCATCTCTGAAAATATTCACCAAAATTCAAAAAATTAATCAAAATAAAACCTTTGAAGTTGAAGTGCACAGAAGTCCTGAAGGTGAATGTGAAAATCAATTAAATAGAGGAAGTAAGTCTGAATAGTTACTATAAATATGGTTTTAAAGCACTACAAATGTTAATAATTCAAATTTTAATCTATTTTGATTTTTTTTAAAAGAGTTATTTATTTATTTATTTGACAGACAGAGACACAGCGAGAGAGGGAACATAAGCAGGGGGAGCGGGAGAGGGAGAAGCATGCTTCCCGCAGAGTAGAGAGCCCGATGTGGGGCTCAATCCCAGGACCCTGGGATCATGGCCCGAGTCAAAGGCAGACGCTTAACAACTGAGCCACCCAGGCACCCCTTAATCTATTTTCTTTTTTAAAAACCTTTTTAGTAAAAGTAATTTGGTTTAATAATGCCTCCCCCCAAGTGTATGCTGATAACATATATTTGAAAATGGTGATTGTGTTTGTCCTGTAAAAACATTAAAGGGATTTCATTTTGTTGATGTTTTCACTTTGCTTCTCTAATTTAAGGCAATGGTTATGATGGAAGCACTGAGTTCTTTATTAATGTCTAACTCCCTACCCGCAACATAAACTTTTCAAATAGCATTAAAACTGTGAATCACCAATACCTGTAACAGTGCCTGGCACATAGTAAATACATAACAAATGCTTAATGAATGAATGTATAAATGAAAGAAACTTACCTGGAAAACCAGAGGTTTCCTCTTTGGTGGTGCTTCTTATAAAATCCAAAGTCTCTGAAAATCGCTCTGTAGTATGACTTGGTTGTACCTATAATCAGACATTAAACAGAACTAAATTCTAGGGGCAGAGAGTTGGGAAAGAAGCAACATCAGTCACTTAGAGGATGAAAGGGGAGCCGTGAGGCATTGTAGACAAGTGTAAAGACAAACTTCTTTCTAATACAGTAGTGTTTCCTGGTCTGGCTTTTGTTTAAGTTCTTCATGTGCATCAGCCCTGAAGAGTGTTACTGAAAAGCACTGAAAAGACAGAACTGTCTGTCTCATCTTGACGGATTTGTACATGGCCATCAGTGGGTTGGAAAAGAGCAGTCATTTGAAGAAGTCTCAAAGCAGTGTGACTGACCTTCCTTCAGTGATGGGAAATACTTATGAGCCAGCACTCCTGGGTTTTGATGGGGTTATTGAGTGTGGCCCCTTCACGGAGCTGGGACCTTCCAGGAAGTTGCATACAGAATAAGGGACGTCCCTCCTGCAGTCTGCCATTTTTGAATGAACTTGTCCCTGCACTGTGTTGTCGGCAAAGGAAGTAAACATGTAACATGGTGGTCCCTCCATGACAAACCTAGAAAAATATATAAATGCTGGGCTCCACAGAGCAGGAATAGTTTTAGAAAAGCATAATTTTATATACCTATGTGAGAAAGACCTAGACACGTGGGATTCCAGTCTTATTCCAGGAAACTTCCCCAATGTCAAGAGTGTGGAATGCTGGTGCTAATGACTAGTGGAGACAACCACTGGACACTAGACATGGGTATTGAAGCTGTATATGAGTTTGGATTTCCTAGAAGCAGACCTGCGACTGCACTGACATGCAAGTAGTTACATCTGGGGTGGGGGTAATCTCAGGCAACCCAGGAGCAGGAAGATAGGGAAGGGAAGACAGCCAACAAAAGGTACAGTATTAAGAAGTTACCACTGTGGATGATTACTAAAGCTCAATTCCACTGGGGCATTCTGAGAGTCAGCATAGTGGATGCACCCCTGAGTTACATCTTCTCAAGGACAACTGAGGGCTGCGTCCCAGGACATGATTCCTCTGGCTTTCGCAGCTGACCACAGGCTGCAAGGACAGGTTTCAGCAGAAGCCCATAGGTTAGTGGCTGGTATTTCAGATGGTCTGGGTGCACAGATTAATGGCAGTTCTCACTAAGCGGCACTGCGAGGTGGTCGAAGGCTGGAGGACCCAGGTGAGGACAGCCCCCAAGTGGGCAGATGAAGGGCCGTGCCAGCCTTCGTCTCTGTGGCTAAGTTTCTCCGGCCAGAGTCGGAAAATTCTCTGCCTTGTCTTCCTACTGCCAGTGGGTTTTGGCTAAAATAGGCACTGGGGGAGTGTGTTTTCAGCTCTTGGGGCTGACGCTGTGAAACATAAGACCACATCCTCAGGATATAAAATGAGATACGAGTTACCAAGAATTATGTTGCAACAAGGGAGGAGGGGGGTGCTCGGGAGCCAGTAGCTGAGTTACCGCAACACACCAAATTCCTAATGATCCGAATCATCCTAAGTTGCCGTAAAAGCAAAGAGCCCAGTCGGGAACCACCGTGCGGTCAGCAGCGAAGTGCGGGGATCGGGTCCTCAGGTAGCAGAGGGAATCCCTCCATGATACGGCAGCAGGGGGACTGGGTGCTGGTAGCGCACTTTTGGAAAAGTGTCACCATGTCTGCTCAGGACAGTCTTTGGTATCTTTGTTTCCACTGCGACTTGCTTGTTTCCATAGCTCCTGACAGCACAGTCTTTCAGGGAGGGGCTCATTTCTTCAGCGAGGGTGGTTAAGAAGCC